GAGAGAAAAGGTCCGAGATATTTCGAAATACCACAGTTCCAAAGGTTAACCTTCCTACTTTGTATAAGCAAGATAAACCACGTTGACTCCAAAAGCGCGGGATAAGCACGCGTCAGCTTCTGGTGGGTCTACAAATACAATTGGTCGATCAACAGCTGCCAAGATCGGCTATCGACTATCTGCCGTCTGCAGGTGGAGACTGGCTTGTAAATAATCCAGTATGATTGGTTTGAAGGCTCTGCAACAAACATGTAAGAATGTGGATCCAATGGAATTAAGCCAGACTAGTCCAAAAGGAGTTCCAACCTAATCCACACTAGTCTGAACTAATCCAAAAGTATAAAAATAAACCTAAAAGGGGGGTCCGGTATCGGGTGAATCGGCACCCATGGTTCAATGCGTTTTTTTTCTTTCAAGGGACTTTGCTTACTCCGTAGTGGATAGAGATTTTTTCAAGGGTTTTCCAAGGGAAAGGGTTTTTATCCTATTTAACCGGGACTGGACAGCCTTTCGTAAATGAGTCCCACTATGGTGGATGCAACGTGAACTTCCCTAAAGAACAGCTTGAACGTTTCATTTGTTTCTATGTATAGAAATCGATTTCTGCAGTGACGCAGCGTGGGGGAAATATTACCCTTTACAATGTTACATTTACCTCCGAGTTCTCAACACTTACACTAGAATATATTAGATATATAACTTATATATTATATATATATATAATATTCAAACACAAAAAAAAAAGAAACGGTGATTTGCAATGTCAACCTTGATTTAGGGACAACGACGATCTGCCGTGTGGGAACTGCCAAGATCGGAGCCCCATGCAGATGACAGGCCTTTGGTCAAGGGTACCTGATTGACACTCGGCATTGAGGCGGATCGTCAACGTGCTAGATAAGGATCTGATTACTGCGTACTTTGGGATTTGGATTTCAAGATAATCACTTTACCTTTTTACATTGAATTCGTTTGTGATTGTGAAGTCTTGGGGTTTAATATATTTTGTTCGATATCTGTGATTGAACTGTCACATACATCCCTGACCGCCCTTTTTCTTTTTTCTGACTTTTCCAGCGGGTTTCTCGGAAAGATAAAAATTCTTCCGAAGTAATCAATGATAAAAACATCTCAGGGTCTCCAAGGACGCGTCATTAGCCGTGTTACGGAATCTCCAAGAAAAGCGGTCAACCCAAGGCCCAGACAGCTTTTGAAGGAGACAATCCGGACCTATATGCTCCACCCCTCCCGTGTCTAACATTGGTATAGTGGATAGAGGACTTGTATATAGAGTGATACACTATAATCTAACTGTCTATCCGGCACAATCCGACTCAATATTATGGCCAAGGTATACCTTCCTCAAAAAGTTGAAATTTAATTATTTCGAACTACTGAACGCCATGCCAATGTATATAAACAAAAATCACACATCCACATATATATATACAATAGATCTATATAAGTACATATGTATATATAAAATATATACAATATATACACAATCTTGGCAGTTTTCCCATCTCACATCCCCTCTTCACCATGCGCTCAAAAATCAGCATCAAAAACGCCACATTTGCCAACACCCATCGGCGTTCGTTGAACAGAAATCTGCCGGTGAGATATGCCAAGTGGTCCACACGGCATGGCTGTGGGAAAAGGGGGGGGTTTACAGGTTACGCTCAGACTCGAGAGTATGTGTTGCATTGCTTGTTTTTGGTTTATTGGATTTTGGTTTGGTTGAGTTCGCGCCTCTTCATTTCAAGGGCTCCATATGGGCTTTTTTTTCTTTTCTTTTTCAAAATGGGGGTCAACTTCATTTTTGTAAAGGTGAAGTTAGAGAAATCTGACCTCCGTACCTGGATTTCCTTTTTGGCCCTTGATCTGTGCAGTGTGGATTTAGGTGCCCAACTAAACGCCCAAGGGCCTTTTTTGCTTTTGGGGATGTCCACCCGGTCTGGACGGTCGGGACTCGAGACTCGGGGACTCGGGGGACTTTGTGGCCTTGGGTGTCGATAGATGAGATGCATACTAAGGTAACTAGACTCCGTGGTTAGGTAAATAAATTAATAGCCATTTAATACTTTCACTTTCTAAAACAAAGTACTTTAAAGTGTTTGGAGTAACTTCAGAGAAACCTTATCGAATACTCCAATCTTAATCCGGTAACCCGAGGACCGGTCCTCGCACACTTCCATACTTTGTACACACGAGTAACCTTGGAAATTTCCTATTAATGAACACCGATATTTGTGGCTTAAAAGTTGCTTAATTATCAGCTTCCACGGTTGCCTGAGTTTTCTTTTTTTTTTCCAAATCCGACGCTGTGGCGTTGCCATGGTTAATGGAATGCGGAGAAGCCGAGCAACCTAGGGCCGAGCAAAATTGGAACCTTGGATTTGGATGCCATGGTCCCCAGTTACCTATATAGGTAGATCTCCGTGTTGAGATCCATTGAAATGCATGTTTTCCAAGACTGTCCCGGAAGAGCGGCTGATTCTTAATCCTTGAAGTACAGGATGTAGAATATATCATCGTACTTCGGTCACGCTATACCCTATACCTATCTTTCTCCCGGGCTAAACGCCAATCATTAATGGAGACTTAGTATGTAGACTACATGATTGGACAAGGTTATGTAACCTTTCTTCAGCCTCTTCGGCTCTTCGATGATCTCCTACCTTGTGATCAAACATGTGAGCCCTGTACGAAGTACGGGACCATATCCAGCTTCGGAGCGTGATATCAATCCCCGAGGGTCGGGGACCATAGCGAAAAAAAACCAGGTCGGAAATTTATCTATTGCATATTTCTACACTATTGAATGGCGAATTCTGATCAGAGATAATATCTGGTTCCACCACGAGGCATGGAATATATGTATGCAAATAATCCAAGAGAAAAGAAAAAGGAAAAGAGTGTGATATGTCCGATTTGAGGGACAAGTGGTCTACCGCGCTATTGCGGGAGCCGCGCCGGCCAATCTATCCAAAGCGGTCTTTTTCCCACTCCTCTGGGTTCTGTTCCGCTGTTCCGCTCTGACGTCGATATCCAGTCCCAGAAAAAAAAAAAAAAAAACATGGCTTGCAGCCCGTGGCCCTTATCGTCACAAACTAAATACGAGATTTTTTATGATTCCGGTTTCGGGTGCCTTAGGGTTAAGGGTCTTTTTTTCTTTCTATGTGATACAGCTCGCATGGCCCGGCTAATGACATTACTTGAACTTATTCCTTTTTGCCTGCAGGAGGCGTTTTTTTTTCTCCTGTGTTCCGATGCGCGAACCTCATTGCATGGGCTCGTATTTTGTGTGGTTTTTGCGACCGAAAAAAAATAGGACGGACAAAGGCCGTAGTGTTACATACATTGAGAATTCTTGTCCCGTGTGGAGTACTGCACTGTACATCCTCCACATGTTGATGGAGTACAAAGTTCGAGTCCGCATATATATTGTGTATATATATTTGTATATATATTTGTGAAACAGGAGGTCGACTATCGGATGTTAAACGTCATCGCATTTCTGAATTCCCTGATCGAATGGAATTAGAATGCAGTCAATAATGTTGGCGGCTAGTGATTCGATGCTCCCTTCTCTGTATGTAAGGTCGGGTTGGCGCGCTAAACCCTCTCTGTGCCGTGTCAAAGGCCCCTCCATGGCTTAAGCTAATTCCTTTTTATCTATTTTTTTTTTTGAGAAAAAATAATAAGAAAATAAGAAACAGGAATTATATTTCCTTATGATCCTGCAGCTTTGCCAATAATGAGTATCTCTAGTATGCTGTCCCAGATGTGGGTTTGGTCTTTAAGCCCATAGTCCTTTCAAAGGGTCTTGGAATGTTTTAGTAGTCCGGTCTATTTAACTATTTGATCTACTCGAACTAATAGTATAATCTATAGGTGAATAGACCATCTACTATTCAAAGAACTATTACTATAATCACTCATATTAACCCCCACGGCAACGGGTATACCCTTTTTTTTTTTTTGACACTGTGGGATCCGCTATATTGAAACAAGAGCCCTCAGGGCGAACCTTGAGTTTATTTCTTGGCGGTCCCTTTTTTTTATTTTTATTTTTCTTTCTTTTTTATATATATATACAGGTGTATTATTATATATTATTTATAATTATTTAATTCATAAATTTTCTTATTTGTTATCCCGACACGGCACACCTCGACCACTTATCAGCGTTCATCGCTAGTCTACAAACATTCCCCTAGTCTACACACCCCCTTTGATTCTTGAGGTCACCGACTGCTTTTTAGGTCTCATGATTTTCTCCTTTTTCTTCCTCTTATTATGTGAAGAATTATATTTATTATGCTTGTTTTTGGCTTCTCTGGGCTCATTATAATAGTCGTACTGAAAGCGATCAACTTGGACATTCCCATTTAAAACCCTGACTATACAGATTCCTTAGATCTTCCATTCCTCAGCCTAGTTGATGTTTAAGCAATTAATATATTTTAGACCCTATTACTAGTATCTTTAAGGTAAAAATAAAGAGTAAATTTTTTACATCCGAGGAACTGGTTCCCGCTGGGGTCCACCTTTGACCCAAAAAAAAAAAAAGAAAAAAGAAAATAAGAAAAAGAAAACAATAAAATAGAAAATATGGAATATGGAATAAAATATGAAATTGAAGAAAATAAATAAAAATCAAAACATCAAAAATAAATACCGGTATTATAATTTCCCAGCGATCTGCAATCCCCGACGGGACGTCGTCAGTGGCACTTTGGAGTATATTGGGATCATGCCTCACACCTTATATTCCTTCATAAGCTTCGCCGATCCCCTTCCCCAGACTGTCTCTGCTTTCACTTTTTCTCACTTAAGAAAAATTATATAAAATAATTGATCTTCGGGTCTATCAATCTCTTTTATACTCCGGATCAACACAGACGATCACTCTTTTTTCAAATCACTTTGGAATCTTCGAAAAACCCTCTCTACACAGTTTCTACACGCGATCGATTCGCGACTCTCTATCCCCCATGACGATGGTTATGGAAAATCAGAACCGCCCCTATGGCGGCATGAGCTTCGACAATGTCTACCATCACACCCCGCCACAGTTCACAGACCCGTGGGCTGCACACACAACCTCGCACTCGACACCTCCAGTCTATGCCACTTCCATGGGGAATGGCGCCGGCATGGCCCTCGCCCAGGTGAAGCAAGAGGAAGTGAACCGTACTGGCATGTCCATGCCTTACCCTAACATTCCCGTGTCCGCCCCATCAATGGTGGCTGGGACTAGTTACGCGACCAGCTATGGGCCCGAGGTAATGGGAATGCAACACGAGGTCCCGCGCACAACTTTCGACCAGGCCCCCTCTTACACCACCGCTCCTCCAATGAGCAGTTTCGCGCCATCCAGCTATGCTTACGCCCCCATTCACCCCACCCCACAGGACAGCCGTCGTATCTCGCACTCGTAAGTTAAATTCCGGCTCCGCGTCGCTTACATGGGAAGAGATCGCAAAAACTTACCCAAAATTTTCACAGAGATGCCGCTCGGGTTAGCGCTTCAGCTTCCGCCCCCACTTTCGGAGATGCGCTCGATGCAAGCCGTGGAATGGTCGCTCTCAGCCAGGATCTGACCCCGCGCAACATCTACGGCCCCGGCCCTCGCGGCGCGCGAGGCTCAGCTGATTCCTACGGTTTCCCCTCCACACAATCGTCCGCTTCATCCATCTCATCCGGCGGCAACTATCCCTACTACAGCGCCTCGGTGGGCTCCGTCGACTCCTCCGTCACAGATTACAGCTCGACTACTTCCGAGTCATATGAATCGCGCACTCTCCCCCGGCCGACCAGCCTGTTGGCTGGTAGTGCTCCCCCGGGCCCGCAATCAATGATGAGCCAATTCAGCTCGAAGATGCCCTCCAACACCCAGAAGAAGCACAAGTGCAAGGTCTGCGATAAGCGATTCACGCGTCCGTCTTCGCTGCAGACGCACATGTACAGCCACACTGGTGAAAAGCGTAAGTTTTTCTGGAAGGCAAATGATTTTGAAATTCATGTTCTAAATATTTTTCTAGCATTTGCGTGTGATGTTGAAGGCTGCGGGCGGCACTTCTCCGTTGTCTCGAACCTGCGTCGACACAAGAAGGTCCACAAGGGCGAGAAGGACTCAGGGTCTGGCGACGACGACGAGTAACCTGCCAGTCAGATTTTATTTCATACGACTATATTCTACTCGAAGCGGAAATCCGTCGAGTGCTCTCTCTCCTACGCTCTTCGCGCACAACGCGCCAGATCCTCCACCCACCACAACCTCGTTCTCCATATGCCACGAGCCAATCCATGAACCAACTGTGTTGGCATGATTTACCAAAAAATGGCTCGGGCTTTCGCATCTCCTTGTACAACAGCATGGACCACCTTTTCACCTTTTCCAATACCAACTCACCCGAGAAACATATTCTGATCGGAGAGAGAAACGCTTATACATACCATACTCCTTCCGAAACGGGTCATGGGTATAATGGGTTCCTGTTCAAAGGCCACAGGCAAGAGAGAGCCTTTTCTTTTTTTCCCCCATGTTTTTCTTTCATATTTCCTTTGTTTCACCCACGTTACGACCATAGAGGTTTCTGGCTGGATGCGTTGCTTTGGTTTTCATTTCTTATTCTTTCGCTAGACCTGGGCGTCACCTTTCTGCTTTTTTTTTTTTTCTCTCGATACCATGGGGCTTGTGATGATGCGATGTTTCTATTTTTATCTTCTCTGCAGGCTGTACCCTGATTTCCCTGTTCTTTCACTTCTTAATCTTCAATGGGCTGCATCTGCGTGGCTTAAACCCATTACATTTCCCCCCCTTTTTCCCACCAAGAACGTGCCATTTTGGGTTGGTGTTGGTGATGATACCCATAGGAAAGCATGGTTCCTATTGTTTTGATACTGGCTGGGTCTGGCCTGGTTAGTTCCACACAGTCGCTACTACATATATTGACTAATCAATAAAAGAAATTCTGAACATTTTTCTATTTTTTGTAATTCTGCCTTCAATTTCCTCTATAGTCCAATCTCTATCTGAATCACAACTGTTCTAGCCTGCTGCTTGCAACTCGCTCCGCTGCTGGTCGACCAGCACGACGCCCAAATACAGTCCCAGAAGTCAATCCACTTCCACCAGGGTAGTTATCATAGAAGATGCCTCCAAGTATCTCACCCACACAATACAACCCAGGAATCTCCTTATTCGTCTCCGAAATAACCGCCGCAGTTTCCGGATTCACAGCCAATCCATCAAAAGTAAACGTGATACCCGCCGTAACCTGAATAGCTAGAAAAGGCGGGTTATCAATCGGCAAAGCCCAATTCGACTTCGGAATCGCCAGCCCCGTAGTCCCAAGCCCATCCTTAACAGCAGGATCCCACCTCTTCTGCCCATCCGCATCTTCAACAGAAGCATTATACTCCCTACCACACTCTACAAACCGTCCAGGATCAACAAGTCCAACCTCCACACACTTTCCCGCAAGTTCTTCCAAGGACGCTCCCTCAATGCGCCGAACAATCTCACCACGATACTCCTCCCGCATCAACCCGACAGTCCACGCATCCCAAACCTGAAACGCAATCTGTCTAGGCTGCCCAAGAATCCGCCCCCCAATCATCGCATACGTATAATTCCGCATATCAACCCCTTCATCCACAAACCTCTCCCCACCGAGTAACCATAATCCCAAGCGGATACCCGCTCTTCCATGGCGGTTTTTTGAGGGGTTGTAGGATTGAGGGATTGGATTGTAGATGTAGGTGACTTGTAGGTTGGGAGTGTGGTTTTATACTCTGTTACACTTAGGGCTCTGCGGAGGGTTGGTGTTCCCCCACACTCCCCGCAGTCGGGGTGTCGATCTCCGTGGGATTTTGAAATTGTGAGGTTTGAGTAGTTGAGTGTCAAGAGTTCGCCGACAGATTTCTCAGGGATATTGGACAATATGGAAAGATCTATCCAGAGTCCATATTGCATACCTGGAGGTGTTTGAGTATCATAAAACACATGGACCGATCTACTTCCCTATGTTGTGTATGATGTTCTCAAAATAAATCGCAATGCAATTATGATAATCGATATTCAACTATTATCTTAGTCGCCGGTTCTGATATGACCACGGCAGACAATGCAGAACCAGCCCCAACGCCAAATGGTAATCCATGTCCAACGAATAGAACGCACGTAGAAAATTACTGAGCGCGACAGCACCAGGCATACCACAGCCCCATTTGCCTGGAACAACCAAAATATCTAACGAATCCGGTCCAGCTTGGCCCGGTTCATGGCAATTTGATCGTCGACAAAGTCGCTCTACAGCCAGTTAGTCTCATCTTCATACCCATACCAGATTGAAGAAATCGCAAAAAAACTCACCTTGCCTGTGATACGCTCCAGATGTCTGTTCTGCTCATCCAGTTCCTTGCCAGTGGCCTTAGCAAGACCGTTCAACCGACCAGTAGCACCACTGAGCAGATCCAAGTTTTGCTCGATTTCGTCTTCGAGTGCCTCGTCCTCGCTATCCGCCTCGAATTGGTACTTAGCACGCTCGGTGACACTCGCCTTCTTGCCCTTGCCCTGTTTCGCCGCATCGCGGTCAATATCACGGAACACCCGCTCCATGCGCTGATTAGTCCCGTGTGCCTCAGCCCGTGTACCGTCGCGGATATCACGATCCTCACGGTGTGTATTAAGGACCTTCTCATCGCGCTCGCGCCGGCGTTGCGAGGCAGTAAAAGGGTTCGACACGTGCACGGCGAACATGCTTTTGTTGAGTGTCTTGAGCTCCCTTGCCTTGTCCTCTGCGATGCGGCCTTCAATGGTCGTCATGTCCAGGCTCTTCTCCGCATCGTGGATTGACTCGCCCTGCGCACCGAGTCGGGCCAAAGTAGAGCGGCCGGTTTCTTCGGCCTGTGCGGCAGCTCGGAGTGCATTCCGTGTCGACGCCACATCACCTTGCTTTATGAAGCGCATCTCGTTCTTCGTCGCCTGAACGGACTCTTCTTCCTCTTCTTCGGCTGTCAGCTGTCGCTCCTGGAAGGTCGCCATGCTGTATTCGTTGCTGCCGCCACCGTAGTTCTGTGCTGGGCCACCTTGACCACCTTGGCCCTCGGAGTACGGTGGCGGCGCAGCACCCGAGTTGTCTGGGCTCCGGTTCTTATTGGCGCCGCCGAACAGCTTGTTGCGATCCGACGCAGACGGGTCATTGGGATCATCGCCGCCCAGACCTCCGTAGCCACCGCTTCCATACCGCGAGCCTGAGCCGGAGGCTGGGGAACCGGCGCCTGCGCCAGATCCACCGAATCGATCACTGCCGTAGCCGCCTTGGTTTCCGTATTTGTTGGGAGCGTAGCCGGAGGAGTACTTGTTGTCGGAGGGGATGGCGTGGGGGCTGCCGTTTGCGGTTGGGTGGTCGGCAGGTGAGGCAACACCGGCGCCAATCTTGGCTTTTGTGTATGGGTCTACTGGAATTGGTTGGGCGTAAGGGTTGGAGGGGTTGGAGGGGCTTTTGTCCTTCTTGCGCGAGCCAAAGAGTGCTCGGCGACTAGATTCCTCGTCACCATCGCTTTTCTTGAAAAGACCCATGATGTTGGGGAATAGGGCTGTGAGAGTTGTTGAATGAAATTAAAATGATCGAGGGTAAAGGGGAGTACACAAAAGAAAGGAGAAAGAAAATGAAATGAGACAAAAGAAAGAATTAATGTGAGACGCCTTCAGGGGAGCTAGATGTTCGAGATCGCCGCCTGATGGTAATAAACTGACGAGAAGCATACCAAAGTTACTCACTATATTTGTTAGAACATTGCTCCGCAGTAACCATACCAATACCAAAGTTACCCAGTTACATCAGCAGTGGCAGTGCTAACCAAAAACGGGCGCAGTGGCACTTCAACGTCTCTGTTTATTTTTGGCCACAATATTGTTTCTTGCCTGGATGAAATGGCTCCTTTATCGGGGTCTGATGCGGACTACTTTAGGGATAAGGCGCGAAGGGATCTCCTGACTTTGCTAGAAGGCGTGAGTACAGCTCCTTGAGACTCTTATCTGTGCTAACTATCCCCAAGGCCCGAGGTAAGAAGAACCTCGTCATAAGCCAGGAACTGGCCGGCCCAGTGGGGCTATTTGTGAAGTTCTCCGTGCTTCAGGAGTATGGTGTGGACCGGGTCTTCTTACTTGAAAATGCAAACATCGACTCATCACAACGCAATGTTGTATTCCTTGTTCGTGGCGAGAAAGCTCGCCACGTTCGAATTGTGGCAGGTATGACATTGTCTCTTTTTTGCCCCCTTTCGGCTTGTTAGACTGTAGATTAGATCTCCTTATTTGGGTCCATGATGGGCCTTCATTAGATTACACAGAGGCTTTTCTACTCTGTGTAATCTGGAGAAATGTTCCCTATATTGATATTTCTTTACAACATTTTTGCAAGCTCGTTTCATTAGGGCCCTTTCCTGCTATCTCTGATTGAGTGCCATCAGGATGAGCTGACATTTATATCTTAGAACAAATCAAACGCCTGCAGAATAATGGGAACGTTGAACATGAGTTCTCCATCTTCTTTGCTCCAAGACGGACCCTTGTAAGCAATGCGGTCTTGGAGGAGGCGGGGATTATCGGCGACGTGAACATCGCCGAGCTTCCCCTCTATTTCATGCCTCTAGAACAAGATATCTTGTCACTAGAACTGGATGAGTCGTTTGGAGACCTGTACTTGGTAAGTTGTTAGGTTGCTAACGTTTGAATAAGACGTTTTCTGACCTTCCTATTCAGCACAAAGATCCCGGGTGTATCTTTCATGCCGCCAAGGCTCTCATGGGCGTCCAGCAGCGCCATGGCTATTTCCCACGCATTGTCGGAAAAGGCGATAATGCCCGGCGTTTGGCAGATCTCCTGTTGCGCATGAGAAAAGAACTCGACGCAGAGGGGAGCTCTGGACTAGCTGATCCCTCTGCACGAGGGCTGTTGCCAAGTGCGAGTGTAGAGAACTTGATCGTTATAGACCGTGATGTGGACTTCGGGACGCCTCTTCTCACACAGCTCACTTATGAAGGCTTAATTGATGAATATGTCGGCATAAAGAACAACCAAGCAGACGTTGATACGAGCATTGTCGGTGCTGCTCCCACGCCACAGTCCCAAGAGTCATCCAAGACACCCCAGCAAGTCAAGCAGGGGCTGAAAAGAAAGATCCAGCTAGATGCCTCGGATCAGTTGTTCAGCCAGCTGCGAGATGCAAACTTTGCAATCGTGGGCGATATCCTGAATAAGGTGGCACGCCGCTTAGAAAATGAGTACGAGAGCCGCCACACGGCTAAAACAACAGGCGAGCTTCGAGAGTTTGTCAACCGATTACCAACCTACCAACTGGAACACCAAAGCCTTCGAACCCATACCAACCTCGCAGAGGAAATAATGCGACTCACCCGCTCCGAAACCTTCCGCAAAACTTTAGAAGTCCAGCAGAACAACGCAGCCGGTGCTGACTCCACATACCAGCACGAGACAATCGAAGAGCTCATAGCTCGAGATGTCCCACTAAAGACCGTGCTACGGCTCCTATGCCTGGAGTCCTGCATGTCTGGGGGCCTCCGCCCCCGCGACCTAGAGAATTTCAAGAGACTGGTCGTCCAAGCGTACGGCCACCAGCACCTCCTCACATTCTGGGCACTAGAGAAAATGGACCTTCTCCAGCCTAGATCCTCAGCAACGACAATGCTCCTCCCTACATCGGGCGCGCAAGCAGGATCCAAGACCAACTACGGGTACCTGCGCAAGAACCTCCGTCTTGTCATCGAAGAGGTCAGCGAGAAAGATCCAAACGATATCTCCTACGTGTACAGTGGCTTTGCGCCTCTCAGCGTCCGCTTAGTTCAATGTGTGTTACAAAAGTCCTACATGGTCTCGCTAATCAAGGGAGGTACGCCGGCCGCCTCGCTGAATACCGCTAGTACAACGTCGCCTGGCTGGCTTGGCTTCGAGGACGTTGTCAAAAGTGCTCGCGGTGCGACTTTCAGCATTGTCCAGAAGGGCGATGATAAGGCTGTGCGGGCTCGTCAAACGCTGAGCGGTAACTCTGCTACAAAGGCTGTGTATGTCTTTTTCTTAGGAGGTATCACGTTCACGGAGATCGCCGCGTTGCGCTTCATTGCTGCGCAAGAGGCTCCGCGGAGGAAGATCATTATCTGTACAACGAGTATCATTAGTGGTGATCGGATGATGGAGGCGGCTATCGAGAAGGGTAGCTTTGCCAAGGCGGAGTAAACGGGTTAATCTACGCCTAAGTGACCATACTGATATCTATGTATGTCATTTTCTGAAGAAAATGAGTAGCAAGCTCTACAGTTTTATTTTTAATGTAAAGACAGAGGCATCAATAGCTGTTTGGCTTGTTTGGCGTGGAGGTTTTCAATAATATTCACATGGTTCCGTCATATTCTAGATTTCAACATAGTTAGCTAATGGATATACATATCTCAGAGATAGTTCTAATAGCTAAATCCAGAATGAACACCCATCAACCGACCCTGATACCGCTCTATGACCTCACCGAGCCGCACCATAACACCAGCAGAAAGAGTACGTATCTGCTCCTGCGGGTCAATAACCGCTGAGCTTGGATCAGCCCGCGCAGCTGAAGGCGGCGTCCGGTCAAAGACCTGGGAAGCCCACTCGCGCAACTCGATCACCTGCGTGGCGTACTCGGTAACAAGACGCTGTTCGCCATTTGAGCCAGACCCAATGTTGAGATCCACCACAGCAAGGAAGAGGGATAGGAGTGCGGCAGTGACTGTTGGCTCGCTGGATATCGAGGCTGTGTGCAGCGCTAAGAGGAGTGAGAGGGTTTCATGAGTGAGGCCTGGGAGGAAGGGGGTATTGGGGCCTGTTGTGGAGAGGATGAGGGAGAGGGTTTGGAGGAAGAGGGTTAGGAGATGGGGGATGAAGAATGGGTTGTATGAGGATGTGGAGGACCTAGGGCGATGTTAGTATAAATGATGTGAAATGAGATGGAGACATAAGACATACGACGAGAACTGCAGCATTATTATTTCAAATCTGCCCTGCAGTGGGAAGAAGAAACCCTCGGCAAGAACCTTGTGTAGATCCTTGATTGTGGAGCTCTGGCGCTGGGCGTCACGCTGGTTTCGTTTCTTCTCGACTTCCATACGCGATGAGAAGGTTCGAACCTTGAGAGCGTTGGGGCCAGCCATTGTATCTGCTGCGTCGGCTGCGAGCGGCTCCAAGGACGCACGGGACATTTTCTGGGTGAGCGTTGCAATGGGAGACTCATTTGCTCCTGAATACATCGCCTCCAGGGCAGGCGAGAGCCGTTTGGATGGGAATGAGGTATCGCCAGTAGTTGGGAGACGCAGTGCTTTGGCATCAGCTTCTCCATTGCCGGCTAACTCGCGCGCACTCAGACCCAGGGCTGTAAGAACAGCGGATCTCTGGACTTGAGAAAGGTCGCCATCGAAGTAGATGGCAGTAAACCAGCGGCCCATTTTTAAAGGCTGGGACACAATCAATGCAATCATGCTTTGTAGGCGAGATTCATGGAATGTCGGATGATTGTTGTCGTTTTGAAAACCCACAATAGTCAGAGCTAGCTCCTCGATCTGCTCGGAAAGCTCAGTTCCGAATCCTATCTTTCGTCGAATTAAGGATGGGGCAGTGGTGATGGCGAGATGATAGCGCTCGACATTTTCGGTATCTCGGAGAGATGGGATCAAATCACGGATGTATCTTAAATTTGTTAGCAAAATCCATATCAGCAAACAATCTGTACTTACACAGGCGCTGTCGGCTTATTCCGCTGGATCAATGTGGGATCGTCATCAGAATCATATGCATCATCGTCCGGCTTTTCATACGGAATGAGATCTTCGTCTTCATCTTCATCTTCATCTTCGTCGCTATCCTCAACTTCTTCAATAGCAACAATCTTGCTTGTATGGTGGCGGGAAAATTGTACTTTCGGCTTTTGTGCAGGCTTGGAGCGGACCAGTTGTGGTTTTGCTGGTAATGCCTCTTGCAATGCTTTGATGGATTCAGGCGAGCCGACCTTGTCTTGGACCTTTGGTAAATTCAAATACCAAAGAGCTTCCTCACTTCGCATCTCCTCTAGGTCGAATTTCAGTACTTTGTCTGGTTGCTCGATGAGTTCAGATATCCCAGTCCCAACGAGCATGCCGAGAAGTCGTGCTCTGTTAGAGGATGCAGCGAGTCGATTGGAGACTGCGTTGAGATATGCTCCTGACCGGCCTACTTCTTTCACTTGGGCTTGATCTAGCCGATAGAGGTGGCCAGCGGCAAGAAGAATCACTTGTGCGGTGGCTATTCAATGTCAGAGGTTGCTATTGGGATGTAGATTGTTGACAAACCATTCTGGACCACATTTGGGACATGTTTGATAGAGAACTTGTCTCCAAATTGCTCAAGGCTCCGTATGAGCAGTGACTTCAACATATCTGTTGCAGGTCCTTAGTCTCATTGTCTGTATTTCCTTCGGGAATGTGAACTTACCACCGCGGTTGCTAAAAGTGGCCAACAGTGCACGACGTAGTCCTAATGTGTTTATCGAGCCACCT